TATTTTTTTAAACAAGCTGATTTGAATTTAATTTAACTAGACAGTAGTTAATCTTAACAGATAACAACAATTAATATACCCAGCAACGACGGCTAATTCAGCTAGTAATGCACTTGCCACAGGTATATTTTATTATTCAATATWTTTTCTGCGTAAACAAATCCAACTCAAAAACTTAAAAATAAYTTAATACTTAAGTCTGATAGATTTTAAGGAACRTTGTGATTGTATAGATAACTTATTCGTGATTATTAATATAATAATATACCATATCAAAACAATAATACTCGTGGCCATCGCATAAATTCGTAAACTTAAGTTAATCGATTATAATTTATATATTAAACTTTATAAGTCTTATTCTTACTTTGGATCCGCGTCATGCCCCATGTAACTTTTATTATTATTTTTGCATTCGCCACTCGTATACTTGTCCCACGTAGGACATTCTGTTGCCATAAACGAATTCCTATGATAAACGGAGTCTGTGTAAAATTTGTGCGACCTCGAATGACTGCAACCAACTGTAAATTATACAGCATACGTTTAGTTGATATTATTTCTAATGAGAGACTATTCTCTAAACTGTTTGCCAATCAAAATCATTTATGCTGCATAATACTATTTATATTTTTTTACTTACTATCTAGGTATACTATTGTATTTACTATTTATTTTCATTGATACTGTCAAACTCATGTTTATTTTTTGTCATCTGCACTAAATCTTTAATTAATTTCTGCACAAACTTACTGAGCTTTGCTATCGCACTCGGCATGTATGATTCAAAACATCCCGGTTGAGGGGGTTTCCCCTCGTTTGGATAAAAATCAGCGTGTCCTATGGGTTTTGAGTATCCAGCTGTCCCTATCGCTGTATGGATCACGTCCACAAATGCTGCGTCAGTATCGTCTAGGTGATCTGAACGTAAAGACACGTACTCAAATCCAGGACCGGCAGGGTCAAGACCTAAATTATGTAGTAAAACAAGAATTAAGTAGGCACAAGATAATAAGGGAATAATATTGAGACATAGAAATAAATTATATATAATTTAATACTAAAGATAGTTATTATTTTAATGACTCTCGTATTGCCTTCCGAATTACAAAATATTTCTTTTGATTTTAATGATTATTACATGGTAAATATAACACGAATATGTGGGTATGTTTTATTTTAAATTGTAATATCTATCGTTCATTAATTTTTAAATATAGATAGGMACAAATACAATATTTATATTTAATCAATGGCAGTATAAAAGTGTAGAACACGACACAAATTCGTTTCATAATACATTCGTCTAGAATCAAAAAATTAAATTGCATATTATTTAGCCAATTATTAGCGATTCGATTCTATATAGGTAATTAAAATTTAAATACATTATTTAGGTATAAGTATTAATACATATTATTATATTAATATATTGGTGGAATTAATTTTTGTTATGAAAAATCGAATTAAAGATAAAGAGCGCTCACGCAGTATACATATAGGTATGGGTTCATCATTTGAATCATATATTCTTTGTTAAATAATAACGAACAATATATTGTATTAATTTATAATTAATTAATCATCTTTTAATGTATAATTTCATGTAAATGCATACCTATTTAGTCAAAAATAATTATGATTTAAATAACATGTCTATTTAAGATTTTGTTAAGATGTCATTGATTTTAGCGCATTGAGGTCYTAGATCAGCCMTGGTGTTAACCATAGTCGATTATTATAATATTTTATCATTATAGCACGCATATATCTACCTGTAATTCTGCCAATTTTCCCAAGRCTRAATGCAGCTCCACATGCCCCAGACACATGAGCACCGAGACTATGGCCAATAACATGAATATCAGACGGGTCAATTACCGCGAGATTGACTAAATTTTCCAACAATTTGGCGATTATAGAACCCACCTGAACAGTCAAATAGGCCGGCATTGGATACATTATGTTCTTTGCCACCCGATTCCAGTCCGCGGTGATAATGTTGAATCCTCCAGCATCCACATATGCTGAATAGGTATTCAAAAATATAAACAATTAAAACTGTTTTGAATTCGAAATTTTGTTTTATTATATTTAGTAATATGTCGTAAACTTTTTAATTACTATATACATTATACATATAGGCTACAAGCAGGACCAAGACTTAGCAGTTTGTATCTGCAGAATTAACCAGGATTCGTTTTATCCATAAAACCCATAAAAAATCCTAACGCCTGAATCCATGGACCTGAATGTCTTATTATTTTTATCAAAATGGTCTAATTAATC